TTTTTTTTTTTTTTTTTTTTTTTTTTTTTTTTTTAAGACAGTGAGCTTCAAAAAAAAAAAACAGCAGATGTGTCTTTTACGGATCTAACGGGTGTCATTGTAACATGGGAGAAAAAAAAGAAACCGGAAAGAGAATGTTAACTCTTTGATGGCAGAGTTGAAGGGGGGAGTCTAGAATAGGGGTTGGGGGAGAGTGACGTTGGACTTTGCAGCATTTGGAGAAACATCATTTGCTATGGAGCTACTTCTCAGGTAACCAGTTAATGAGGGGAAGGACATTTTTGAGGCAGAGTATTATTCACCGCAGTGCATGGAGAAAGTTGGGTTAAAGAGCCAATGGCATAAGCAAGGCACTAGTTCTTTCTTCCTCCACTATCTCAGGCTTGGGTGTTAAAAGAACAACAACAACAACAGTGACAAAAACCATGCTTTATTTTCTAAACCCCAGGTAATAAGGGGGGGGGAAGTGCTTTTAAGCAGCAAAACTAAGAGGGAACGAAGTGTGTTCTCAGAAATGCCATGTGAAGTATGTACTGGAAGAGTTGAAAGCATTTGCATCTTGCTTTAAATACTGTAGCAGTTCAGGGAAAAAAGGCCTCAGGGTTGGACGACTGCTTAGCCCCAGCTACTAGTGTAGATGGATAAAAGAAAAAAAAAGGTATGAATTTCTGGAGGGAGAAACAAATGACCTGGGCCAGTGACAGACAACTGCTGTAGCACCCAAGAAGTATATGAATTGTACAGTTATAGATCACAAGGAGTGAACTGAGCAGCAGTGGTGTTTATCATAGCATCTTTTAAACTGGTTTCTTTGATGCTGCTTTCTCCTTACTCTGTGACTAAACTCTTTTTGTCTTAAAGTGGTGCATATTTTAAAATACCGTTACTCTATTATGCCATAAACTTGCTCTAGTCAGTGAATGTTCCTAATGCTGCTGATTCAACATTTAAATATTTTTTTAATTTGCAAAACATGCAATGTTTGAGAAGAAGAAGAAAAACAACAAAATACACACACACACACACACACACACGTTACGCGGCTTTCGAGGTTGAAACTGAAAAAAAAAATTAAACTTCACGACCACAGACCACCTCAAACCAGAAATACCTCAGAATTTTCTACTTGTATGAGTTTTATTATATATTTTGTTAGTTGTGTTGTCTTGTAGTAAGTATATTTTAATGTAAGTTGGCTTTTATGACAAGGGAGTTTTAAAAAAAGAAAAAAAAGAAAAAAAGTTCCAAAATCTTTTAGGAAGTGTTACCATTTTTTTGGGTTTTGTTTTATAAAGCACCATTGTAAATAACTGTATACAGTTGTAGAATAACTGCCTATATAAGGTACCTGGGCATTATTCACTCGTTTGTGAAGACTGTTTCCATTCTGTGTTATTTTGTTTGGTCTGTTTTAGTGAAAGGACAGTACATCTTTTTATTACATGTTTTACTTTTTCTCAGCCTATGAAATCAATATGAACATCGGTGTCTTGCTAGACTAACAAAGTTATCCTGATTTGATTGCCAGGACTTTTAAACTTTTGTTTGCATTTATGCCAAAATACAATCCTAAACTAATTACCCTGTTAAAATATACAAATTGGTATTAGAGAAACAGATTGGGCATTTTGTCACACACAGATTGTCAACAGGGAATGTTAGCGTAGGTGTCATTTTTCAGCAAACAAAATTACCAATTGGAAGAATAAAGTATAACGCTGAATATATTTCTCAAAAGTGTAGCTTTAAAAAAAAAACCAAGACTGGAGTCCGCAAAAGGACAAAGTCCTTTTTCTTGGAGGGAGAGATAATTGCCTTAACGTGTCTATCTAAATAAAGTCTTAAACTATTCTTTCAAGTTAATGAATGTACATGTGCATATTAATACATACACACGTAAGTGTATTTGCTTGTGCGTGTGTGTGTGTGTGGCAGTTTCTGATTCTTAATGTGCTCCTGTACAGAACACGTTAACAAAAACAGAAGCAAAATAATACCATTCTGGCACAGGTCATGCCCCGGTTAGGGGAAGCGGGGGGTAACAACTTTGGCAAGTGATGCTACAAACACACTTATGCTGAACGATAGGCATGCAGATAGCTTCAATAATGTCAACAGCACTATTTACATGCTGCAAGTGAAGCATATGCCTGTGTTTGCAGGATCAGTGTCTGTCTTTTGTCCTTTGAGTACATTTGTGCACTGAGAGAGAGAGAGAGAGATCTAGGTCTATATAGATATATATAGATCTAGATCTATATAGATAGAGATCTAGATCTCGATCTCTATATATATCTATATAGCTATATATCTATATATAGCTATATAGATAGATCTATAGATATAGATAGATCTATATCTATAGATCTATCTATCGATACACACACACACACACACACTTGATGCTTTGGAAAAGTGATGTAAGCTTTGGGGGTGGGACTTTAGCACGAAGACTGAATAAACTAGTTTTTTGGGGGGGTTCTCTGTATGGGGAAGTCGGTTCAGATTGTTTCAGAAAGAAAAAAGCTGTACTGTCTTTTAACTATTCTGATTTGTGTGCTGTTTAGGATTTTTTTCCTTCAGCATTAATGTGTAAAAGCTAAAACGGGCTTGTTACAGCAGTTGCTTTTTCCAAACATGATTTCGTTAAGAAGCTTTAAAGTATTTATTGAAAGTGCCATATGATTTTAATAGCCTATTAGACAGTGTCTTCAACCTTCTCCTCGAGACAGCATAAACAAAACCTGTTACCACATGTAGCTTCTTTTACTGCAGGGAACTGTAAGGACATACACACTTCGATCACATGCGGATTGAGATGTACTGGCATCTTCCCTGGCTTAACAGTTCCTTACAGATCATTTTACTAAATTATGTCTACAGTTGGTTAGAGGAAGTTTCTGAAGTGCATGTGTGCCCAGTTAGAAAGGTGAAGGGCAACTGTGGGGCGGATGGGTGTGCGCATCTATCTCTTGGCTGCTTACAGACATGCACCAGTTCAGCTAAACGTGTTAAAAATGTGTGTGTTAAATTGGTGCAACATTTTCATGTAGATGATCCCTGATGGTCTCAGCTGCCTAATTTTCTAAAGACCAAGCAGATAATTTAATGTCTGCGTTCTGTCATTGGAAGTGTCCGTTTTATTACATTCACTTAAGTGTTGTTCAGTACTGTAAAGGCATTTCCCAGTTTAGCAATAAGCTGTATTCACAGCTGTAGTCTTCATAAGCAACAGTTTTCATCCAACACTCTTTTAAATCAGATTGGTTCAACCAGGTGGTAATTGTAAAGTACTAGTGATTGTCACGTATGCAGGCAAAGAGAGAAGTCTACATAAAATATGCTCTTTAAAGGTGTCCTTGCAGAATCCAAGAGTGGGTCACTCCATTTATAATTTATAGTTTAATATTAATCAGAAACAACCTAAATGGCAATGATAATAGTAAAAGTTTCCTCAACCTTAGAGCCAAGATTTTACCCTTTATTTTAGTTGTCAAGACTGTATCAGGATGTGGGTTGGAGTGGTATTGTGGCCATGATGTGGCGGGAAATGTGAGAAGCAAGGGGTTTTTTTTTTGGTGATATCTTTCATTGGACCAATTGCATAGTTGGGAGAGATGTTAGACGAGCTTTCCAGCACAAGGTGCCCTTCCTCAGGGCTGGGAAGGAAGCAGGTATAGCCTAAGCTAAATACCAGGTAAAAGTGGCCTGTGTGTCAACTCCATATGTTGGAAAAAAAAAAAAAAGTGTGGAGGAGGTTGTAAACCAGGAGCAAAGAAGTTATCGCAAGGAGCTGCAAAACGAGATGTACAGCTGAAGAGATAAGCTAATTATGTAAAAGAAAAGCCCATTCAGCAGGGAAATAGGGTCTTTATTATCTGTGGAGTGCAGAGAGGTTAGCAGAAACAGCAGTTCAATTCTAACGAGTCGGGAACTGGTAGTGTATGTTTAGTCCGTGGTCTTTAGCGTCCAGTAAAGCTGTGAGTTTTTTTGTTCCCAGGCCCTGTGTTTGTGTGTTCGGTACGGGAGTGGTACTTAACTTTCAGGAGCGGTGCGGCCCTGTCGGATTCCAACGAATCTGCAAATTCTGCTAAATACCTTGTCACAAGCAAGGTAGGTAGATTTTTCTTGAATGTAAGGACTGTGAAGTCAGGACAGAGAGATTGTCCTTGAAAAGTGCTTTGGGTGGTCCTGTCCTGCGTCCTTTTTCCAAGAGCAGAGCATTGTGGCTGTTTCCTTCCACCTGCATGGGCCTCGGATGTAGTGTGCCACATTCGATAGACCGGTGTAGGACATATGGATTAAATTTACCAGGATAGCTTTGTTCATTTCATGGGTAAATTGACCACGAACTCCCACTTTAAGATGCAATAGGGCACTTAAGGCGAAACGCTTGTCATCTCTCTCCCAGCGATATATAGTTGGGCCAGTAAAAGCTATCCTCCAAAAACCTTGTTCCTTGCATATTTCCTGCACTGTCATGTGTGCAACAGCACTCCTTCCCTACTCTTCCAAGAAGGGAACTTCTCCAGGAGCAGAAAATGTCTGTTTGCGACAGAGCTATGGACTCGCTAATCCCATGATAATATCAGAGCAGCGGCTTTGGAAATTAGTGTAGTGTTCTCTTTTAAATATATGTGCATTTTAGAAGGAAAGGCTGTAAATTAGTTTTGGATAACCATCAGTTAATTTATTCATGCTGATTAAAGGTTTTAAATAAGTCTGGATCATCAAATGATCTCCAGCAACCTGGTAAAGGAAGTAAATTATTCTTTCTTTTTTTGTCACCGATACAGCGGAGGGGTTTTGGTATTTCTTTAGGGCTGCTGACAGGTGGGGAAAGAAAAAACAAAACAAAACAGCCCTTTACCGGAAGAGGAATTGCAACAGTTTGACCCAGCTCCCTGGCACCTGTGTAGCTTATGCACTTCAGCGGCAGGGTTTGACACTTTTATCTAATACCTGATCCAATCAGCTATTGGATAGAAGC